GACATGGATACATGAAGATTGGGTACTCAAACAATACACAAAATGCAAATAAGATTCAAACTATCACAAGTGTAGAAGTGAAAATCATACAAGGGTGACCTAAAGTGTAAAATACCCTAAAAATAGTAAACTAATCCCAAAATATCTAGATAAAATTCCATGAGACCCCTATGGTGTTAGGAACCAGTGGGCAAAGGAGGGGAGCCTAAGTCCTAACCTAGCAATGCAAACAAAAGGCAAAACCTAAGGGATGTCCTATGAACTAGGCAAGAGGGAAGGTCCTAAAGATCAAGCCTAAACCCTAATCAAAAGGTGCCAAAAACAGAGAGAAAAAAAACCATAAAATCAATCAACATGTTAATGATGTGCACAAAAATTTCCAAGCATTTATTTGAAGTTTTCATCACAAAAGAAAATCAAGAATGCAAGGTATGCAATCTTAATTCAAGTAAAATTAAACTAAAATTTATTTTTAATTGAAAAATATCCAGAAAAATTAAACTAAAATTTCCTAAATTTAGTTTACATCTTGAAATACCTAAAAATGTTTATTGTGTATTTTTAATCCATTTGGAAGTATTTTAAAAGAATTAAAATAAAACAGATTGCAAAATGTAAAATAAATGAAAAGAAAAAGAAAATGGAAAAAAGCTAGGTATGAATAGCAATCCAAACATGTGCAAACAATGGGCTTCACTACGCTGGGGGTGTGGATAGCTAAACAAAGCCCAGTCCAAGCAAGCGTTTAATGAAACGCTGAGTTTTGGTGGAATCCTATGTGTTTAGTCAAAGCAAGTGCGTGGTAGGGCGTAATCATGGCTCTTGAAAGGTTTAGTCATCAGATCTGAGGGCACAGGCAAGGCCATGTGGCTATGACGGATTTAAACATCTCAGATGGAGGGAAGAACACAGACGCCGGAGCACGGCGGCTCCGGTCATCTTCTCCGGTTGCTTCAACAACACAGGTGATACGAAACTTCACCAAATCTCACAAACTCATAGTCTAAACTGATCTACTCCTCTCACTGATCACGAATCCATGATTATATAGGCCTAATACGCCCTAAATCAACCAAAATGTATCAAACTAAAATTAAGCACACATCACAAATTATCACTAACAATCATAATGTCTAACCAGAATCCAACTATGAAGCTTAAGGAACATGAATATGCAAAAATGGCGTGCAATCATGGCATATTCAGAGTGTAATTTGGAAAAGTAGGTTACCTAACAGAATAGCTCCGTTGGACCCTGAAACCTTGGTGATTCTTGAAGAAAATGATCCATAAAGCTTCCACAATCTTCAATGGAGATGTTAGTATGCTTAATTTTGCTTGAAACTGGCTGAATCCAAGAGTTCAATTCTCACTTTCTCTCGCTCGTGTGTAATTATTTTCTCTTCAAATCTTGATCAAAAATCCATCCTGAGAGCTTGCATATGATGCTGAGAATGTATACAATGGATCTGGATGATGATAAAGCCCAATCCAAGCCCACATTTATCCAATTGAAAATCCAAGTTTCGCACTTTGAAGCTCCATGGTTCACACGAAAACAAAACTCAAAACCTTCTGAAATTGGCTCATACATGTTGCTTGTGATGTAAGGAATTTGATGGACCAGATTAATCCCTTGTTTTGATCTCAATGGTGTGGATTGAATATGTTCCTTAAGCTTAAAGCAAGTTGGAAAATGACATGGTTTTGGACCTCCGATCTCAATTCTGATTTTCCCATCATGTTTAGAATGTCAAAAGGACTCAAAATATGCATCAACTTGATCAAAATTGGTTCAACGTGAATTTATTTGATTTTATGTCTTTTAATGCTCTTTCCATGAATTTATTTCACCATTCCTTCAATCCAAGCCAATCCAATGATATGTTGATGTTTGATGATGAAAATAACCCCATTTAGAGCATCTTTGATGTTGGGAAAGGTTTCATTTGAGGTGTGCAAAGTTGTGAAATTGACCTATAATCAAAAATGACCTATAATCAAAGTTTCCCAAAATACCCCTGCCTTGCAAGCTTCATATCTTGAGCTCTACAAATCAGATGAAAGACTTCTAGTACTTTTTGGAAAGCTAAGATCATAAGGAAAAACTTTCATGTTTGGATCAAAGTGAGGAGAGACATCCTTCTAGGTCAAAAATGTCTTGGAAGTTGGTTGACTTTTGTTGACCAAAATCACATTCATCTAATGACCTGTAACTTGCCAGCTTCATAACTTGAGTTCTAGAAATCCAATGGATGACTTCTAGTACTCAAAATAAATATAGACACATTCTCTACAAGTTTCATGTTGGGGTCAAGATGAGATGAGACTTGTATCTTGAGATATGTGGTCTTGAAGTTAGGCACTAAATAGGGGATTTTACACTAACAAGCTTAGAAACCCTAGCTTAGCAACTTCTCACACTCTTGATTCTTCTTGATTTGATCTTGGAATATTATCTTAGACGTCTCAACACAATATTCCATGATCATAAAGACTTGGAATTGAGTCTTAATATCCTTTAATCTCACAGTTGACTTAGGGTTAACAAGATGAAAACCCTAACTACACCACCTTTGATTGTGGCTCCTTATACTTGATATAATGACTTGCACAAGCCCCTCAATGACCCTCAAGACATCCAATAAGCTCTCGTAATATTCTACATCCATAATCATGGGCTTAATATCCTCTGATGACTTTTAATTGACCCCTCAAGATAGGAGATACACCAATCTCAACCATCCACTCCTTCAATGAGCTTTGACATTCCTCTGGTGATAATAAGCACTTGATAGCTTGAATACAATCCCCTGCTAGGCACACCTATCTCAATCCCCTGTAAATGGAAAATGGTATGCAAATGCTAATGCTATATGAATGCAATGAAACATAAGCTAGGTAAAGAAAAGGTTGAGCAAATTTTGGGGTGCAACACATCTCACAACATATTATTTTTGCATCAACTTCTTCAGTGTCATCTTTCTTCTTCAAAGCTTTCCAAATGTCTTTGATAGTCTTGTAGGCACCATAATAATCATATAAGTTATCAAACGCACCATTCAAAATATAATTTTCATAGAGATAGTCATTCTCATGCCCTAGTAGTTTTTTAGCCATTTTTATCATTTTTGACTTTATTAGTTGTTTTGTCCATTACTGTATTGTTATTAGTCAAAAGATTAACAACCTTTCTCATAAGATAGAAAAAATCATGTTTTGTTTTCATAGTTTGAAGTGACTTCTCTCAAATTTAAATGGTTTATTGAAGTTAGAAATAGTTGAGTTGTTGTCAATAATTTCTTCAGTGGACATGGTAGAAAGAACCATATTAAAACTATTGTCTTTGAATTTAAAAAAAGTTTGAGAATTGATTTATACCACTAAAAAATTTATTGGATGAATTGTGTACTTAGTCTCTCTCTTTAAAATATTTCACGATACTGCCCAAAATTGTAGAAGCATATTATCAACCACAAAGTCTTCATGATAAAACAATTTAGTAAATCTATACGACATCCTACTGCATTGTAGGCATCGTTCTAGATTACACTCTCAAATAATAATTATTTGATTATCCTAAATAATTTTTCAGACGAAGAGAAAACTAAATAGTTCTCCAAAGAGAATTTAAGAAATACTAAAAAATTTAAAATATCTCATAGAAAATAAAGATGATGAAAATGACAATTTGATAACTCGAGAACACTTAGTGAATAGAGAGGGAGAGGAAAAGAAAAAATTTAGAAGTAATTTTTATTATGTTTTAGAATACATATAATATTGCAAACTTACCAATGTGTGTAAACTAAGCAATCTGATACTAAATTTTTTTCTAATATAACATTTAAAAATTAATCAATGTGTGTAAATTAAACAATATGAGACCTAGAATTTTCAAATGATTTTTTAATATAGAATTAAACCACTTACACCTATTTTATACATTTTACATATTATTATTATTGAAAAATTATTGATTTAAAATAACAACGACTTATTTATGTAATGTATAAATATAAATAAATATTGTCACCAAGGATTGAACCTTAGATCAACAATTTACTCTCATTTAAATAAACTATTCCATATTATTATTATTATTATTATTATTATTATTATTATTATTATTATTATTATTATTATTATTATTATTATTATTATTATTATTATTATTATTATTATTATTGCTATTATTTTTATGATCTAATCCAATCTAATTTATACTCCGATATGAATATCTATATTTCCAATTATAATTTTTTTTATCAATATTAATACTGTAAAGAAACACTAAAATTATAATTTTGATATAAATCAAACATATAATATATTAAAAAATAATATTACATATAAACATATAAATAAATTAGTAAAATTATATTAAAGTAAACTAATAAACAATATTAAAAAAATTTAAAACCAATTTAATAGATTAATTTAGCACGTAATAATAATAATAATAATAATAATAATAATAATAATAATAATAATAATAATAATAATAATAATAATAATAATAATAATAATAATAATAATAATATTAATAATAATAATAATAATAATAATAATAATAATAATAATAATAATAATAATAATAATATGTCTTTCTTGTCTCCTTGTGTTTCTTTCTTTAGCTCCATTTACTTTTTTTTCTTCTTTCTTTTAGCTTTCTCTTTCTCTGATTTTCTCAGCATGTTCCTGTTTCTCATTCCATTGCTTTAACGCTGCACCAATGTTCTTCATTCCAACAATGGGAATCCAATTCTACTTCCATTGAAAATTCTCAAAAGTTGTTTGATGAAATGACAGAGAGAAATGTTTCAACGAGAATGTAAAAAAAAGGTATGTATAACATTATCAACGTAACAAAAACTTCAGCAAAGATCATGGATGGTGTTGAGAATGGTTTAAACTCCTAGTCCTTGGACTAGGGACCTAATCAATGTGCTTTGTGATATTTTTTGTGTTCCGATAATATTTTACAGGTATCAAGAGCTATGGGTGAGAAGGATCTGAGGTGGGAGGAATTAAAAAGTAGGAACAGAAGACAACATGATGACAGAGGGTCGGTTTGGGTGGATAGAAGTGGAAAAGCGAATAGGGAGGATGAGGCAATCTCCTCCTTCTTATTTACTAATTATCTGAAGGATTTTGGAGCCAAGGAGTTGTTTGAGACTTTTAAGGAATATGGTTTAGTCCATGAGGTGTACATTTTAAGGAAGAAGGCTAAAAGGGGAAAGAGGTATGGCTTTGTCTTGTTCAGAAAAGCTAAAGATGTTATGAGGGGAAAATTAAAACAGGGAAGCAAGACTCTGTGGGTCACGAACATGGTGATCAGCATCACGAACTGGACAGGTATAAAGGACCCTGTGACATAACCTTTGCCCAGGTGGTAGGTTTTGTAACCCCAAATTTGACATCCCTTTTGCCTTTTGTATAAGCATGTACATTCGCATCGCTGGCATACACATTTGTACTTTTTCTCTGTGGTTTTTGTTGTAGGAATATTCAGGTTTGCCAAGTCCGATTAATCACATCCTCACAAAGATATCACACCATCACCATAAGCAAAAAAACAAGGGTTTCTATGCCTATTCATCAAAGAAAAAATTCGAAAATGGGAGTCGTGGCCATAGCATCATTTTTCAAGCAAATTGGGCAAGATTTGACCTGGTTAATCGATTAACCATTTGCTAGTTGATCGTCTGCTACTGACGGATAAATCTGCAAGCATACAGTTAATCGTGTAGTCTTAAAAAGGTTATCGAACCCACAGGGAAAGATAATCAAACTAATGTTATCTATGGCTGTTATGCAAAGCTAAGGCTTGAGTTAAACAGAAGTTAATACTAATTACGGAGCTGAAATCAAAAATCTAAGAATAATACTAAAGCAAGCCCGAAATATGATTTATGTGCACCTAAGGTACCTTGTAGATAAAGGGTACTAATTGAATTTACACGCCTATTCGGTAGGATATACGGACTTAAACGCGCATGCTCTCGCGGTCTTAACTAAGTTGTACTTCTTAATCCCAAGATTTTGCTCTCGCTCGCCCGGTAAGTAAGAACTACTCTTTGAAAGCTGATAGTATCTTAATCAACATTATCACACCCTAAATTTGTCCTTCCCTTTTTCAAATATTTTCGCATTTTCGATTCTATTTTTAATTTTGCATCACCCGCATAATTTCATGACATTTAGACACGTGCTCACCCACAATTGGGTGATTTTCCGAATCTCTGTTATTTTGCCCAATGAGAGCGTGACACGTGGCCTAAGAATGTTATTTTTGTAAATATTAATTTCTTTTTTAGTTTTCTAACTTTTTTTCTTTTCAAAATATTAATATTTTGTACAGATATTGTTTTTGTTTGTTAATATTATAATAGCAAGATTGTAATATATTAATTAATAGATTTTTTAGAATTAGATTATTTAATTAATTAGTTTAGAATAGAATTATTAGTTAACTAGATTTAATTAGGAATATAATTTATTTGTTTAGAAATTGCTTAGAATTTTTATTAGAAATTAGATTAGACTTTTGTTTTTAAATTAGAAAATTAGTTTAGCATAGATTTTTTTTAGAATTAGATTTAGAATTTTAATTAAAATTTCAATTAGGAATTAGATTAGGATTTTAAGTAGGATTTAGTTTAGATTTTAGAAATTAAAACAGATTTAATTAATTAGATTTAATTAGGATAGAAATAGAATTAGACTATTAATTAGATTTAAGTTAGAATTAATTAGTTAATTAAAAAAATTAAAAAAAAAATGTAAAGAAAAGAGGGCACGTGTGTTTCTTCAAAATAAAAGGGGATACTTTTCATTGTCTTCTCCCTTGGAAAATCCGAAAAACCCTAACTGGGTCTTCTCCTTCTCTCCATCAACCCAGCCGCCCCTTTTGCTCCCTCGATAAACTCTAAAAGCCAACGTGCTCAGCCTTCTTTAAACCACCCTCACCATTTTCGTTTTTACGGTAAAACCCTCTTCTTCTTTCAACCACTCACAAAATGCAACACCACCTCTTCCATTCTCCTTCATCACCTTCCACAAACAAAACCTAGTCAAACAGCAACCTTCCATATCAAAACACAAAACCAGAATAAAAGGAGTAGGAGAGGAGAAATCAAGACCAGATTCAGAAACCTATAAAACTTCAAAATCAAAATCTTGAATTCGTGCACAACGAGAAAGAAAATGAGATGAAGAATTTGAAAGATAAATCAACCTAAATCCAGATCTCACAAACTCGAATCGTGGCGTGAGAGCGAGAGCGAGGGAGAATGAATGGGTCAGACGAGATGGTGTTAGGGTATTTTCCTCGTTACTTCTTTTCGGCCTCTGCTACTGTGTTTTCTTTCTTATTTCAGACGATGGAGGAAGGGTTTGATGCGTTTTCCTTTCATTGTTTCAAGGAGCAAGACAATGTTGTGGAGATTTTAAGAATAGAAACCGTTTTTTTTTTATATTTTAGATGTGATGTTTTATTTTGAACTTTGTTTGTAATATGCTCCATTTTTTCTTTCTTTTGGAAAGGTGATGGGCCTTTGGCCCATATGATCCTTTCCCTTCTCATATTCTCACCCCCCATTTTAATACAGCCCCCCTTTTGTTCTAAGTTTATTTTTTCTAATTTATTTTTCTAAAAAAAGTTTGTATACTATTTTTCTAAATTCAGTTTTAGATTTTTTTTTATAATAAGTCTTAAAGTTTGTAATAACCATTTTCTAAATTAGTTTTTTAAAACTGTTAATATAGCTTATAAATTAGTTTTTCAGATTTTTATATATTTTTCTAATCTAGTTTTCTAGAAATTCTGTAAATATATTTTGCTAATTAAATTTTAGAGTTCTTATATTTTTCTAATTTTAGTTTTTAGAATTTTTAATATATTTATCTAAAGCTAGATTTTGGTATTTTTTTTATTTATCTTTGAGGTTTTTTATATTATCTTGTTTCGGTCGATGACGAGACCTCTAAAGACATCATCGGTCAAATTATTGATAGATGACGTTTTGTCCGAGACCCACTTTTTCTCTCCTCATTTCTTCTTCATTTTTTATTTTATTTAAGTTTCCTAGATCTATGAAGTCTTTTGATTCGTAAGCGTCGGTTTATCAAAGTCGATAACCTTCTCGATTTCAAATCTATGGAAAATGACCATTTGGGTCATTTTCTTTACTTTGGGATCGTGATAGGCTACCTTCGATTAATCGACATAATATTTGCGATTAAGACGAGATCCCACCTTTCTTTGGTCTGTGCGACACGATTAAATTGGAGAATGATTCTCAATATCATGTCTCTATCTTGTTCATAGTACGGATATCAATTTACACGATCTCCTATAGCCCGACTTCCATCATAAGTCAAGCTATGGCAGTTTAGCGTTACATTTCGCCCCGATTCGATTCACTAATAAACTAACGACTAACTTTACTTTCGTTCAAATATACATTGCTTTATTTTTCAGTCAATATTATCCTGTCCATATACTTGTCAATATTTCTCTTGATATATTCTTGTACATATTATTATATATCCTGTATATTATTCATACCTTGTATAAATTCATCTCTTCATCTTGTACATTCTTTCAAAACACTTAATAAATATCGAAACCATAAAATCCTAAATTGGTGGGATGTTGTTTGTTTGTCCGAGTGATGGACCTTTGGAAATTTTCAAGAACCCAAGCATGGAGTTGTGCCCGACTTTCGCTCAAAGGCGTAGTTTAGGACACATTGCACACACACGGCTTTCTCTTGGGCTACCTGACAATGAGATCTTTTATTTTCGTGCAATCCCGTGTAATTTGCATGTACCCCTCTCCCATTTCCGATGTACGTATTTTGTATTTCTTTGATTGCGGCTTATCGTCTAGGAGCACCCCCAAGGACTAGAATATTCCATTTTCAAACTAATTCTTGATTCGTCATCGAGCCATTTTCAAACCCACTTCCATTTCACCATGTTTTTGCATGTAAATACAAGTCAAACCCTTGATCCAACATCAAGCGGATTTTCTCAACCAACTGTCAAACAAATTCACCACTTCTTCTTTTACAACTTTTTCTCTTAAAACCTTGGCCTCGTGCCAAGTGCATTTTCAAAATTCTTTTCTCAATAAAATTTGAATGGTCGTGAAGTGGTTAGGCGTAGGCCTACTCCTATCCCGAGTGCTTGACATTACCTTTAGGGTTGACTGTCGCAAAGCACTTACCATTCAAGATCAAAACGTCTTTTAATAAGAGAATGAAGTTATCTTTGTATTGAACTAAAGAGAGAGGATTGAGTGTAGACTTCTTCCTCTCCGAGTGTCAGGATACTCACTGTAGAGTGTGTGATCTCGATACTCGTCTTTCAATACGAAGACGTGACTATGTTCATCACACCTTTTCATAACAAAAGTTTGAGATAAAGAATTGGGTACTACCCATAAGGGGTTATTATCCGAGGATCTATTTCACCCCTAAAAAACAACTTCCACAAATCAAATGTGACATCTTGCCTCGAATGGCGAAAGCTAATCATTTCAAAAAGGATATGTTATGTTCGTTCTACCGCAAATAGGTAACGCCTAAGACTCCACGAGCGAGCAGTAATACACCTAACTACTAGAATGCGCACAATAGCATCATCCACAAAAACACCAGTTAACCATAGGCCGAACTACGGCTTCTCTGATTTCTCATGCGTGTTGAGAATACGTAGGCATAGGATTGCAATAATCCTAGCGAGCACTCTTCTTTCTTTTCCACCCTTTCCCTAAAAAGGACATGTTACATTCGTTCTACTGCAAACAGGTAACACCTAAGACTCCATAAGAGAGTTGCAATACACCTAACTGCTAGAATGTGTATGTTAGCATCGTTTACCAGAACTTCCCAGTAAATCGTAGGCCGAACTATGGCTTCTCTGATTCTTTACTTCTTTTAAGTAAAGATACGTAAGCATAAGAGCCCCAATCCTTGCCGAGCACACTTTCCCATCTTTTATCCGCGGTTTCCCGAACTACGTCGACTCTGACTTTCTCATATCTGTTGAGAATACGTAGGCCTAGGACCGTGAAGTCCTACAGAGTCTCTTTTCTCCCTGTTTCTAACCCTTCTCTTTATCCCTTAGAACACACTTAGAAAGCAGTATATTTTAGCAGATACCTTCACACATAGACAAACAAATGGTTCCCATCGAGTACAATGGATGCGAGGGATGCTAATACCTTCCCTTCGCATAACCGACTTCCGAACCCGTTCTTTGGTCGCGAGACCATCTTATCTGTTTCTTTCTTAGGGTTTTCTCGATGTTTTCCCTTCCCCTCATGGGATAAATAAATTTCGATGGAGACTCTTCTGTCTTTCTTTCTCGC